TTTTTCAGGGATCTTTTTCAGTGAAGTACATGGAATACTCATTTCATTAACAATGGAAATAATACAAGTATTACAATACATGTTCAGAATTTATAGAATGTAAATACAATCAATGAAAGAAGATATAGAAAAAGGAATTACAAGGAAAAGTGGATTGTTGTTACAAAGARAATCTTATTCTAGAACACTTAGATCTATGTAATCAGGTACATTTTCACCAAGGTTTCTTCGATGTAGGAATTCCCTTCGTATCTTTAGATCGACGACTTTTCCAGGCATGCTATCATCTATCTAGAGCAAGAGATACACCAAGTGATCATTGGACATAGATGTAGCTCTAACACCCTCTAAAATCTGACTTCACCTTCATAGTCAAGGAATATAACTCCTAACTCAGGTTTAAAATACACAGAGTTGGGTGTATAGGGACCCTTATCTGGCAAGTCAAGATTCAACATAGAAATGTCAGTACTCATATGACCCTTTAGGACTTCATCTAAGGAGAACCTTGTTTCATGTTCGTTCCTTAGGAATGGTCCATCATTAGGATCAGAGAGCTTAAGTTTTTTCTTCCCATCTTTCTTCAGAGTTGGCCTGTCAGGGACCTTGACATACCTGGACATTCTTTTGATGAGCTCGTTGATTGTGTCCTCGATAAGTGTCTTGTGTCTCGACTTGGATTGCTGAATGGCTTGTCTGATCTCCATCCATTCGTTGTATCCATAGCGGCCTAGGTAGGAAGGATACTCGGTAACGRYATCAAGATTGTCCCTGGTGATGAGCATTGAGACAAGAGTTCCACCGTCTTTGGATCGTCCGCGGATGCTGACGCTGATGATTGGGTGGGGACTGAGTCTCTTTTTCAGCTTTGCTTCGCTCCATTGCTTATCCTTGTCCACTAGCTTCAGCTTTGTCTTGCGTTCAGCTTCTTCCATAGAAAGAAGTTTAGCTTGGGCTTGGACAGCACTCACCGTTTTCTTGGACTTTTTCTTGGGAAGGACTTTAGCAGCTAGAGACTTGGCCAGCTTTAAGCTGTCTTCAGTCT